GAAATGTTTCTTTCATTGACTAAAGTCACTTTCTAGGTCCCACTTCCATTTATTTATTTTAGTGTCAATAAATAACCTAATATATTTTTTAAAAAATTAATAATAATAAATGCAGAAATATATTACTTGTTCTATAATTTGATATAGAATTAATTATGTCTACTGTGTAAAATTATTTTATCAAAAAAAATTAGTGAATGAAGATGAATTTGAAGAAAAATGAATTTTAAAAAATTTGTACCAAAATATAGACTAAAAGGCAGTATTTCTATCTTGTGGACATGGGGTTATCAAGTTCAAGGAATTGAGAGAGAGTGGGGTTATCAAGTTCAAGGAATTGAGAGAGAGAGAGAGAGAGAGAGAGAGAGAGAGAGGAAAACCGACCCAACCCAACCCACGCCCACGCCTAGACATGGGGTTATCAAGTTCAAGGAATTGAGAGAGAGAGAGAGAGAGAGAGAGAGAGATCTATATAAATCACATATATCACATGCATACTTACTATTAACAAAAGAAAGAATTTTAATTACCATCGTCGAATTGTGAACATTGATCGCGTACGCAATTCATTTCGCAATCAGAAGAATAGGGTTCTAAGCATTTAGGTATGCATATGGCTTCACTGGCGGCTTTCGAAGTTCCTTTCTTAAGGTAATAATCCATACACTTCTTGTAGCAATCTTTTTCAATAGAGGTTGCATCGCCGATGTTGCTTAAAAATGACAACAACAATAGCATTACGAGTAGTGAAGTTCCCTCAATGTCGCGTGTGCCCTTTGCCATTCCTTCTACCATTCTTCTTGTCTCTGCATTGGCACGCTATTTATAATCTCAAGTGAGTAAATACAAATGAGATTATATAGATTTTGGACATCAAATTTCGTGAATCGAATTACATAACCCGGATCACATTAGGTTTAAGGGCATGTTTGGCAAATAAGTCATGCCTACACAAATACGTGGTTAAAAATGTGAGGGAAGTGAGTCCGAAGTAAGAAAAGAAAGTAAGGTATGACTTACTTTCGTAGTGATGGACTCACGGACCATTACTTATGTACTTATTTGCCAAACATGCTAACTGTAAAGACATTATTTTTTTCTTCATTCTTAATAGCTTTTAATGTCTTAATTAAAAATAATAATTAAATGAGTTGAACATGAGTAATTGGATTACAAATAGCCAACGCTTTGCAGTAATTATCATAATTGAGATCAGATGGCGAAAATATAAATTATGGCACCTGTCTCCAACCTGCTTTTATTGCACAAATATCTTTTACCTTTTAAAATTATAGCATTCATGTCTCAATTAATGTAA